TTGTTCTTCTTATAAAACAATATACAATTATTTACACATGCATGAATTTTTTCATAGCCCAATGCGAGACCCTTCAACACTTTTTGGGCACTTTTATGATCTTCAGGTAAACAATTCTCCTTTGGAAGCATCCTCTTGATAACTCCCAAAAAGTAATCAAAACACTTGTTTGTTTGACAAACGAAACTTAATCTTGCCATGCATCAACTCCACAATTGTTGTGAACACTGAAAAGTTCTCGCAACCCGTATATAATTCTTGCTTGGCATTTTTTAATAGTTTTTCATAGTTTTTGAATGCCTCACTGTCCATGGTTGGACAACCGTCATCTTCCCCTTCCTGATTGGTGTTGCTCGAGGCGTATGGATAAACGTCATTTAGAATATTCATAACTTGTTCACTAGGATCCACATTAGATTCAGCAGTCTCCACTCATGTCACCTATGAAGACGAAGCTTGGTATAATCGTTCTCCATGATGATACCAAGTAGTATAGGTCTCCATCATCCCATTTCTTACTAAATGAAATCGAACATTCTCGAATGTCTCCCATATTGAGTTGTTACACCTCGTACACGGACATCGGATATAAGTTGAACCTAGGTTGTGTCTGTGTCTAGTTGCGAATTCAATGAACTCATCTATTCTATCCAAGTACTCAACATCACATCTATTATGATTATGTATCCACTATTTGTCCATTTTGTCTGCAATCCTAATAAAAGTACAAGAATTACAATAACTTCAACTATTGTCTTGTCACCTTATTCCTCTGGTAAGGGCCTTATCCCATTCAGGAATGCACAGTTATGTGCCGTAATTTATGATTCCAATGGATTAAATTTCGACGTGGGCTAATTTCGGCAGCATCTCCGTACAGTTCTTCAAGTGCACACTGTAGATACATAATATCCACCGTGTACTCGAAGAACATTATGAAATGTTACCAAAAGTTCCACTATCGAAACCTAATCCGTGAACCACAAATTACAACACATAACTATGCATTCCCAAACTGTCCAAAAAATGGGACAATTGAAGAATTAATTGGACCGCAGTCATGCTTTCGCATCCATGCACAAAATCCAACTAATTATTGAACGGGAAACTAAGCTTTTCTTGAAAAAAGGGTACGAAGTTAAGTAGTATTAACTTCGTACAACACAAAACAATTTTGTACGTGATGTACAAAAATATGTGCATACAAATAAACTAAATCACAATAATTACTAAAACTAAATAAAATAGATAAAATTAATAAAGATTAATTAAAAATTCAATCCCAAAAAACTCCACCATGACCAAAAAAGGGCATAGCATGCAGGCAAAGGTACACAATAACAAGTTTTTTTTATCTTATTAGTTTTCGTATTTAATTTAATTTAGTGTTTGTGTTTTTATTTTATTTTTGTGATCTATTGTTCTTATAATTTACTTATAAAATTTTGTGTGTCACTTTACTTATTTTCTCATATTTTTCTTATCATCATAGTGTTTAAACTCCTTCAAATTAATGGCATTTGTGTTTTTTTGCACTAATTATTTTCTTAGGTCTGATCAGATTTCTCTAATTGTTTTTCACATTTGCATGCAAGCTTTACCTTATGTTAAAATTGCAAAGGTTTATGTTTATTTTTTTATTTTAATTAATTAATTAATAGTTATAGCATAAAAACTCCTTTAAATCCACAAAAATCTTAACTGAATTCACCGCCTGACTTGCACAGATTGATATCGAAGTCGGCAATAGCAGTGGTAACTGTGTTGCAACACTCATGTCTCTGTTATAGCTAAAGCAATTCCATAATTTAATATGAATTAAGGTGGAATTTTTCTTTTTACCAGCAATGGTCTTTCAGCATGCTCCAAAACTTGTGCCACATCTATCATTTAGCATCCCGACCATACAGAGGATAACCCAACAAAGAAACTTCAAGACAAAGTAGAAATTATACCTTGACAATAAGAAGACAACCTGAAGGAGTTCAAAAACCCTATGATGATAAGAAAAATATATCAGTCGCAACCCAAGCAATGGTCTTTCAGAATGCTCCTTCAAATTATACCAGTCACAGCTCGGATGCCCTATAAATTATACAATTATATCAGATCAGAGTCTCCTCATGTAACAATTGTACATAAATCAATAGGGTTTGGTTCCCTTCCAATTAAAGCTATAAATTCCAAGAGACCATACTGCTAGAATTGAATCAACTTGTGGTGAGGCAAAAACATCCCCGCAAATAGCTGCAGTTAGCATTTCATTCTAAAAGCCATCAACAAGGAAAGATTCATTTTTACAACGGAAAATGAAATTCAAAGCTTTCAATTTCTACACGTTCCTCTTGATTCAATTTTTACATGTTCCTCGAGTCTTGTCTAAAAAAAACAAACAGATACACTAAATCAAAAAAAAAAAAAGTCATAAAAAAATAAATGAAATTTGAAAAGTAGCAAAATTGTAGAGAAAAGAAAGCTCTCACATTTGGTACGTTTAAATGGTTCTTATGGCAATTGGGTTTTCTCAGTTTTGAGTGAAGTGTTGGAATTGGAGTGATGAGTGTGATCAGGGCGGCTATGGAGGTCTACAGGTGAGGGAGAGGGTTGGGATGTCTGTATTTTTCCTTGTTCTGTCCTGGCTTTTGACTTGTGTTAGAATAAATGACAGACGGACAATAATTTCTGGTTTCACTTTGCGCTACGCAAGTGGGCCTTCGTCGTGCAAAACAGCTTTGCGCGATGCCAGCCTTTGTCGCACAAAGTAGTTTTGCACAACGAAGGCCCACCTACGTCGTGCAAAGCAGTTTTGTGCAATGAAGGCCCACCTGTGTCATGCAAAGTTGGGAAAAAAACGGTAAAGATCCTTCGTTTGGCGCCAAAATCTTGCGCGACACTTTGTGTTTAGAGTCGCGCAAACACACTTTGCACGACGAAATTCGCTCCGTCACGCAAATTGATTTTTGTACTAGTGCCTCATTTTCTTAGCACTTGAGACAAACACCCCCATGCAAAAATGTCATATATGGTGAAGCTTCTATTGATATAGTTTAACGTGAGGGTCATAGTTTTCCCATTGATGTAGTTCATGAAAATTGCCTGACAAACGTAATCGATGTCGTCATCTCAGGAAGGAAACTGAGGCAGCGAATTCCCAACCTTCTCTAGCAGGAGGGCAAGTAAACAACAAAAAACTAAGAGTAGCGGACAGTGCAAAACCCGAAAAGAAATGAGCTTGTTGATCTGAGAGTTTTTTATAAAGCCCAACCTACCGTAGAGGTGAATCGTGTCTCTTCAACCTCTCCAATGGATGACCTCTCGTCCTTTTCAGCAAGTGGACAATCAATTACTTGTCATAGCAAATGAAGAAATTAAAATCAGCAGCCAATGAGATCCTTGAATTAACGGCTGATTTGGTGGTGAATGAGCCAATTTGAAGGTGATTTGCTGTATGAGCACTGAGCAGACTGACAAAGCATTGCAGATTTTACCTAGTTATTTAAACTATTTGGTTTCCGACTTTATAAACACATCCACAATGCACAATGCTATATTTTAAAATCACGAACTAAATTGATAAAGCGAATACGTTATCTTAAGGGGTGTTTACTTACGATGAATGAGAATTATAATTACTTTGATTCTTGAGTTCTCTATATTTATTAAAAAATAAGTATAAAAAAATGGTTCTTATACATATATTTTGATAAATATAAGGAACCACGAAAAAAAAAAGGTAGGAATTTTGCCGAAAATGTTAGATCCAAATCAACATTTCCTATTTTCTATTTTTAAGTTTTCTCATTTCTTAATTTTTCATTTCTATTAAATAAATATGCCTTCAATTTTTATTTTATTATTATTAAAGTGAGGGGAAATACTCGAAAAGAATAATACTTGCATTTCCTCATGGAGGAATGCACATATCCCACCTTTTGTAATTAACCTTTCTTCCTCGTATAAACTTCATTATAGAACCGTTCAGCTTCTTAATCTTCATTTAAAGATCCTCCCTACACAGAAGTTATACGAATCAGAAATTGTTTAGTTATTTAAATATATCAAATAAATAGACGGTTCCTCATAAATATTTTATTTGGTACTCACACCGTCGATTAGTTCCATAAATTTAGATAGCTAAACAATATCCAATTCCAATGATTTTTTGCAGGGATAATCTCAAATAAAGATTAAGATACTAAACCGTTTCGATTATGAAATTTATATAATGAATATGTGTTATTCGAAAGAAGTGAAATATGTTCATCTCCCATAGAGGAACACGAGTACTTCAAATTAATGCATACATAGAAATCCAATACATTATTCATTATTCTACTAAAATATTAAACCACATATAAATAAATATGCCTTTATTCTTATTTCTTTCCTAACCTTTTCTATTTCTAAATTTTCTCATCTTTTTTTTCCCCCCATTTTATTAAGTGAAAATGCTCTTATACTTATTTCTTCTCCCGTAAGTATACGGCGAGTGTGCCAATCTTGAAGACTTGAAGTTGTGAGGACCAACAACCATACAAATTTCAGCTATAAATCCTAAAGTAATCAAATTCATGAGTTGGAAAACATATTTAAATGAAATGATAACTTAATTAAATCCCCCGCATTTTTTTTCAGGGGGGTCAACTTGGGAAAATTTTTAGGTGTACCGGGTACACCAAATTTTTTTGGTGTACCCTCACTCATTAGAATTTTTTTGGTGTACAAAAAGTGAGGGTGCACCAAATTTTTTTGGTGCACCCTCACTATTATGAGTGAGGGTACACCAAATTTTTTTGGTGTACCGGGTACACCGAAAAATCCCTCGTCAACTTGGAATCAAATCAACTTGTGGCTTATTTATCTATAAAAAAATAAGTACAGGGCTAATATGGTAACTTCAACAGATCAACTTGTGTTTCTTTTTCCCTTTTTTATTCCTTTTCTTATTGGCTTCAAGGACCAACTTGTTTCTATTTTATAATCCCGTACATGAACTTTCCCCATTTTTACATTCACTAATTCTCGGCTTTGAAAAATGCAACTAACTCATCTCTCTGTTTGTTCGTCACAGAGAGAGAAAGCTAGAGTCCTTAAGAATTAAGATCCCCCCCCCCTCCCCCCGGGGGAAGCCAGAGCAAAGCAAAGAGCCTCCCTCCCTCTTGGCAGAAGAAGCTCTCCACCCATAAAGCTACCCAGTTTGCATCTGCTCAACTCAAGCGTGAGATTACTCAAATGCCTCCCAACCCGCCCAAATCCTCAGTCTTGCTCCACCGTGTCCACACCGCCACGTCGGCGACATCAAACATGGCGTCGTCGCAGTACCAAAACCAAAGAGGCGGAGGAGCTGCTGCACTGCTACTCAACAACAATAGTAATAATAATAGTAAGAAGCGGGCCACAGTACCAGAAGTGGTGGCGCGGCACCACACGCATGCGGTGGGTCCTAACCAGTGCTGCTCGGCCGTGACTCAAGAGATCGCTGCCCCCGTGTCCACCGTGTGGTCGGTGGTGCGGCGCTTCGATAACCCGCAGGCGTACAAGCACTTCGTCAAGAGCTGCCACGTCGTTGCGGGCGGCGGCGACGTGGGGTCGCTGCGGGAGGTGCAGGTGATATCGGGGCTGCCTGCGAACAACAGCACGGAGAGGCTGGAGATCCTTGACGATGAGAGCCACAGTCATCAGCTTCAGCATGGTTGGCGGGGACCATCGGCTGTCGAACTACAGGTCAGTGACGACGCTGCACCCGTCGTCGAGCGCAGGCGGCGGAACGGTGGTGGTGGAGTCGTATGTGGTGGACGTGCCGCACGGGAACACAAAGGATGACACGTGTATTTTCGTGGACACCATTGTTCGTTGCAACCTGCAGTCACTCGCTAAGATCGCCGAGGATATAGCTAGCAAGACGCAAGTAATGATGATAGTAATCATTTAATTAAAATTAATTAATCATACTTTGGCTACTTAGCTAATTAATTAGATCCTCCTTCTTTTCTACATACATGGATTTATTAGGCTCATCAAATCGTCGTGATCGAATGTCTATGATCGAGGTTATGAGCTAGTCATCTGTGTTTGTCCTTTTTTCTGGCGTTTCCGCCATTGATTTGTGATTTTAATCCGATGAAACAGCTTCAGTAGTTCAAGGTTTAAGGCTTTAATCAGTGCTATTACTGTGTGTGATATAAACTAATTTTGGAAAAATTGGCCTAAATAATCACTTTTCAAATTTCAATGGCTGAAAAGATCAATTTCAGTATGTGTTGATATCTAGTCGAGATGTGGTCAATATTCGATCATTACTGTATCGTCTATATTTGATCAGTATATATGTTGTCGATTATTTTATGGTTTTGTTCGTCTAATTGGAATATGAGAGAAATTTATAATGGCATGCAAGAAGACATGATCTGAAAAAAAGAGCAGAAGCCATTCTGCTGCCTAATATTTTGGATAATATTGAACTTTTTTTATTGATATGGGTATGGTAATGGCAGTGCTGCTGACTACTGAGGCAGTTGGCAGCTGCATGGCTAGGCTTCTCAACAAGAAAATTATTCATCCGGCGTCTCAGCGTGCATTTCACAGCACTGGCATAATTAAGTTAAGAGTAAGTGTGTAGTTTGTGTAAATTCTTTGTGTATTATATTTTGTAATTAAGTTAATTCTCATTGTCATGCGCTGCTATCAATCTATGTTGTCGTTATGAACTCTTAAGTCCTGAAATATTAACTTTGTCGTTTAATGCGCGGGAATGAGTTGCGCGTCTATTAGGGTTTTGGTTTAGGTAACATGCAATGTAGATGGTATTGTATTAGTTAAACATATACGATGTAGATTAAGTTGTTAATCAGATTGATATCTTATTTATTATATAGGGAGTGAGAAGATCACTTCTCCTGTTGTGTCTTGTATGATTTGCTCGGAGAGATTAATTAGTGCATCGGGAATACGGTTTGATACGCAAAGTGTAACACAATTAGTTGGAAACATGAAGAAAAATTTTTTTAACTAAATGCATTGTGACACTTAATGCACTAGATCATGTTTCCAGATTTTTGATTCGCAAAAAGATAAATTAATTATATATAGTGCTGATTAATAATTAAGGTTTGTGATGAAGTAGTATAATAATGTTCTAAAAATGCTGTTAGCTTTCTGTCGCGCGTTTGCTCGCCAATGTGGACACAGAAATGAACCTAGCTAGCCTTGTTTGAATAAACAATACGGCTTTGACATTTTAGGTCCAAAAAATACAGCTAATGTATAAAAACCATAAAATACAGCTAATATATTGTATGTATTTTACTACATTGAAAAACAGTATGGGCACCAAATATAGAGCAGAACGTTACCCTTTTCAAGATTCAAATACTAAGAAATCGGAAACAAAATTAGAGATAATGAAACTGATTTTCATGCGCTCATCTTCTTATTTTCTTGCATACTCATGTTTATTTTTAGCATTTGATTCGAATAAATCAAATGGTGTGTAAAAGAGAAAATGGATTGAGGAGCAGAAATTATTTTCCTATCTTGAACTACTAAGAAGTTTTTAATTTTGAACAAAATGATAGAGAGATAAAAGTGAAGAATTATATTGAAAATGAAGCCGGCTAACTACCTTCAAGAGATTTTTCTCTTTCAATTGTTTCATTTGTCCTCGCTAATCACGATCAAGTAGAAAATGACATAGAGATAAACGTTTCTTAAAAACCCTAGAAAAACCAAGTAAATAAAGAAGAGAACGTGAAAGCATATATTGTCGTATTGTATGGGTGGTATCGACAACCGAGAGGATTGAAAGCATGTATATGCAGAGGTTGGACTGTTGGGAGAATATGTATTTACATTGAAAAATGGTGAACAACGCGACGGGAATCAAATAGCTTAGCTGCCTCTTCCCTTGCAACTTGCTCTTTTTGATAACTCAAACAGTTGCTATCAGCTAGCTGTTCTACCAAAGAAAAGAGAAGAAAAGGAAGGATACTTGCAAAGCAAACTATGAAGTTGTTGCAACTTGCTCTCTCTCTCTCTCTAACGGTCATTCTTTTCGTTTAAAGAAATGCAAGTTGGCGGGGTGTTGGTCGATCGATCGGTATCTGTGGCAGAAATGTGAATGGTGAAGTTTTGAATATATGTTTGAATGGAGACCGATTGACTGTACATCTAATCTGCTTTGCAAGTTGGTAAGCAAGTGGGAGGGAAGAGAAGGCTCTCTCTCTCTCTCTTTCGTGTATTCTTGTCTACCTTTCAATTCCTTCACGCCACCCAATTATCAGTATATGACCCATTCCATCCATCTGCCCTAAAGTTAACTCTTCATATATATGAACAAGATGCTTAGACTGGTACATCATGGGGCTGGTATGGTTTTTCACTTTTTGCATGGAAATTATGGACTAGTATATAAGAGAGATTACATCATCACTCATGACCTAGCAGGCTAGCAGCTGCTTCCTGGAAAAACCATGATGCATCACGCATGTCACAATTAGTTTGTTTGAAGCAAATAATAAAAATAGGACAATGCTAGGGAGACCAAATTTTAAATTAAATTTGCAAACTAAATGACTTGTCACCAATATGAAATAAGCACATTAATTAACACGTAAGTAACAATCCAATTATCAACAACCAGATCATTTGGTTTACAAATTACTTGAAAGATAACGAGAAAACAACACATTATACGTACTCATAAGCTTTTATCTCAAAAGTAGGGATAAAAACACCTAAAATACTTGTAAGAATACAAAGTAATTGTAGTATAACAGCTCTAGTAAGGTCGTTCTCTACAAGTATTGAATGAATAAATTGTGTAAAATCAAATCTTAATTAATTACTTAAAACAAAGTTTGGGAAAAGGTTGATTTTGATATTTAAAATAATAAAAACAAATTTAATAAAAAAAATTAAATAAATCGGCAAAATAAAATAAACTAAAAGAAAACAGTTTTTGAAAATAAATTGTGAAAGCACTAGGGTTCCACGCATTACCTTAATTAACAATCCTATATAATTCTTCCAATTACTTATGAATTACACATGTATATTTTGAAGGTTAGGTTTTCCTAAAGTATGCCTACTTGGACCCCCAACATAGAGTGTATATCAAACATGCAACTCGTCTGTGGTATTTAGATCAAATCTAAACATGCATGGCTCATTAAGTTTTGTGAAACCTTTTGAAAAACCATGCAACCCTTAAGATGTGGTATTCATCTTAAGTGAACTTGCACATATTAATCACAAGAAGCTTTTGTCAATTTTAGGGACCAACCTCCGACCAAAATTACATCAAATTACTTTTCTAAATATCCTAATGGTGATCAGGCATTAAGACAAATATATAGTTTAAACACGGTGATTAATAATTCAAAACTTGCATGCATAATATCATAAGTAAATTGAAAAGAAACTACATATTCTTGCCAAAGCTCGTAGCCTCGCCCTAGCAAATGGAATTAGTTATGAACAATCATAAAACAAAATATTATAAAAAATATGAATAGAAAATACTTTGAAAATCAACTTGAATCGTCAAAAGCTCTCTAAGCCTAGCAAAGTTCTCCAAAGTAGTGCATGTGTTCTCCCCTCCGAAACCCTAATGGCTGAAAAGCCTTATTTATACTACTACACAATTAAAATCCTTACTAGAAAGGTCTTCAATAAACTAGAAAACATAATAACTTCGGAGAAACTAGGAAACATAATCCTAATCAAATATGGCAAATCGGTCCAGCCACAAATCAGTCATGTTTTGGATCCATATCTACTCCAAAATAGGCCCAAAATAGCTGGATTTAAAGCTTGAAATATTCTAAAAACTTCTCCATAAGGCCATGAACCCATCAGAGGTCATCTTGGGCTCTAAAACTCGCAATTAAGCCAAAAAACGTCATTTTCCAGCGCCGTGCACTACTTTTTTATTTCATCACCAGAAAATAACCTTTTGGTAGAAAAAATCCCAAATTTTGATACGAACAAGCCAAGGGACACACGAACATCTTCCAATTAGAATCACTCCAAAATTCGTCCATGTGGCCACTTTTTTCTCAAGAAGAATTCAAATGTCCTACATTGAAAATATAAAGCAAAGTATCAACATTCTATCAAAACATACTAAGAATAGGGTAAAATATATAATATGAAATTGACTCATCAAATCCAGTAAACTTAAGCAAAACGATGTAAACGAAAAAGAAAATGATTAACCAGTCAATATATTCAATCAATAGGCAGGACAAAAATCATTGAAAAAGAAAGCAAATTTCACAGCGTAAGCAAAAGACAACAAAATAAAAGATATCCAAATAACAAATAATACAAAAACAACGAATTTCATAAAAAAAAAAATTGAAATAATGGTCGGAAATAAGAGCAACCCAGATTTCAAATACAAAGAAAAACATAGAATCAAAGCAACAAATGGCAATTGTCAATGATGCGTGAGAGAGAGACTAGCGATTTTATTGACCTGCTCGAGTGAGCGAGCAGTACCCGAAATGGAAGAGATCGTAGATCCCATAGTGTAGACATGAACAAAGCGGTCCAACTAATCAGCAGGATTTACCAAACGAGGATGATTGAGCAGGATGAGGATGAGGATGACCAAGCAACTCTATATTGAATATGGTCTTAGCAATCCTCTAGGTTTGGGGAGGGGGTGTTTCTCTAAGACCTGCTTCTAGCAAGGGAGTTAGTCGGCACGAGTCCCCTTTAATCTCATTAAACATAGTCCTTGCATGTAAAAAACACGGGACTACACTAATAAGTAGTTCTAGTTCAGTCCAATGAAAATTAGTGAGGCCAAACAATTAAACGCACCCTTAAGATGTTAAGCCTATATAGTATACTAATAAGTAGTTGATTTCAGAAAAATATCGGAGTATTACTTGCTCTATGAACACTTATGGGCCCTTGACACAATAATAATATTTCTCACTTTTACAATACATATATATATATATATATGTATGTATGTATGTATGTATGTATGCATGCATGTATGTATTAATAAAAAAATGAGGGAAAATTAGGTTCACATCCATCTTTTTGTTACTCCATTGATTAAAATCCTATTCATTTTGAATTTTTGATTAAGGTCCTTGGGTATTAATAACATCATTAATTATTTGAATAATAAAATATTTTTATTTTTAAATATATTCCTTTAGTGTTAAAAATGTTACAATTAGTATATTTATATTTATGGCTAAATTTTTTATCATATATTTTTATTTTTAGTTTGTACCTATTTTTAATTTGCAAATATTTTTTAATTTGTACCAATTTTCTTCTCATTTTTAATTTGTACCCATATATTAGTTTCTTTTTATGCCCCTATTTTTTAAAGTTTTATTTGTGTTTGTACTCATGTGTATACTGACACACCCCGTCCCGAAGGAGGGCATGCTGGCCGTCACGTGAGAGTGACGTAACCATTTACACAGTTCGGAAGCTTTAAAATACACAACTTCTAAGATGAACCACCCGAAGGTGAGTCCTCATTTGGTCCATTCTGTCAGAACACCGTTGAAATTCCTCGTAGTCACCACACCTTTGCAATTCTTGAACCTGGAGGGGCGCAAAACCAAAATTGAGTGGGTCAGTAAAACAAATCTTTTTCAGATCCAAACACTTCTCAAAAACTTTGTAACCCCTCTCCGTAAAACTTGTATACTTTCCCAGAATAAAGTATATACTCATGTACGTAATATATCTCAAATTATGCTAGACAATATGAATGTATGTCATGCCAAGTATCATAACAGAATGCTCATCATCTCTATGTGAATATGATGGAATAACATATAATCAATTCAACATTCGGCCATAAACATAGTTCATACTCTTTCATTCTAATCAACTCAGCCCTCGGCTGCATATATAGCTCATAATCAACTCATCACAACAACAGCATAACATCTGGCAGCCGGAGTCACCTAACGTGACCTGTACGGCTGCATATAGAGCTCAAATCTCATTCACAATAACTAAACAACTGAACCTGCCCACGAGTCGGAACCACCTAATGTGGTCTGTACGACAGGCCTAGGTGTTACGTATATATACGTTCTAGTGCTACGATCACGTGAAGACTGGGCGAATAATCGCACGTCACCTACGAGTCGGAACCACCAAATGTGGTCTGTACGACAGGCTATGCACCTAGCTTGGATCCAAGCTGAGCATAAGGTGCGGGGAGGTGAACATCACGTGAAGGACTGGCCCTGCTCAGGGCGAGCACTAACACCGGGGATCAGGTTATGAGCTCTCTAAACATCTCAAGCTACTTCTCAATCATATTTCAATTATATCTCAATCATATCACCAACATATCTTAATCGTATAATTCATCATATTTCCATAGTATTTCAATCGTATTCCAAACGTATTTCATACGTATATCAAATGTATTTCATACGTATATCGAATGTATCTTACCTGGGCCTCCTCAGCACCATGCAACAGTATGCATAATTATGGTAATGCACATATTAAAGTATGATGCATGTATGACAGGATATTTAATTCGTATTTCTTTTAAAATACGTTTTCTGGGAAATACGTCAAGCATACGTATATATATACGAAAAACAAAACTGCCCACTCACAGATCACATCGACGTCTCGAAGGTCCCTGAGCCTCCCTTAGATTGGTTACATTCTTCTTCTGTATAATTTTCACCTATACAAAAAGTAACCAACTTGACGTTATTTAACGCACATACACCAAACAATCGTCAATAACTTTCTCATATGTTGCTCGATTTAGGTGTGTGAATATACCACGGTGATCTACACAACGTCACGAACGCGTGACAATTTTCAGAACTCAATTTGGATGTTCCACGCGCCCTCACGCGCCCAGTCTACGCGCTGCCCACGCGCGCATCTTCTTCCTCGCGTCGCCGGACTGGTTTCGCCGGAGGTGGGTGTTTTGCCGGAATTTCTGGGTAAACTTCAAAGTGTCATAACTTCTTCATTTCTTAACCATTTTCGATGTACTTTATATCAAAATGAAGGTATTGACGAGACGAACACATCCATACCTGCCTTGACCCCTAACTCGGCCTGGATTCGCCGGAAAAAGTCTCGAAAGCTCCGGCCAAACTTGAACTAAGCTTTCCCGACGTCCAAATTTGTCCAACGAAGCACTCCGAGCTTCCTTAGGACCTCACCAAGCTTCCTACAAGCTTCAAAATCCCAAAAACATCAAGTTTTACGTGTGCATGAACAGTGCACAAGCACAGTGAAATCGAAATCCATGTTTTCCGAAGTGAAACTCACCTGAAATTGGTACCATCGTGTTCGTGTGATCCTCAGGAGTACGATGGTGGTCTTAGATCCTTCGTTGGTATAGTTTTAGGGTGGTTTGTGGGTGGTCCGTGTGAGTTCGAAGGAGAGAGAGAGAACGGAGAGTGAATGAGAGATTTGTGAGGGAGGAGAGAGAGAGAGAGACAAGATGCAGAAATGGGGGAGAGATTTGAGGGATGTGGGGTCCTACCCACTCCCCAAATCATCAAGTTATAACATATTTTACGCCCCTTAGTCCCGTTTAAGGGCATTTTCATAACTTCACGTCCTCGGAATTAAAATTCCGGGACGGGTTGTGACATATACCGTCACATGACATTGTATATTTAATCAATGATAGAAAAATTATATATGGTATATTTATGTTTTATGCCTAAACTTTGTATCATATATTTATATTTTTAGTTTGTACCCACTTTTAATTTGCAACATTTTTTTTTAATTTGTAGTATTTTCTTTTTAGTTTTATTTTGTACCCATGTATTAATTTCTTTTAGCGCCTATTGTGACATCCCACATCGCCCAGGGGAGTTTAAATGTATATTCTCATCCCTACCTAGCACGAGGCCTTTTGGGAGCTCACTGGCTTCGGGTTCCGTAGGAACTCCGAAGTTAAGCGAGAAGGGGGCTAGAGCAATCCCATGATGGGTGACCCATTGGGAAGTTGCTTGTGAGTTCCCAAAAACAAAACCGTGAGGGAATGGTAAGCCCAAAGCGGACAATATCGTGCTACGGTAGTGGAGCGGGCCGGGGAAGTGATCCGCCCCGGGCCGGGATGTGATAATTTGGTATCAGAGCCTAACCCTGGTCGCGTGTGTGCCGACGAGGACGTCGGGCCCCTAAGAGGGGTGGATTGTGACATCCCACATCGCCCAGGGGAGTTTAAATGTATATTCTCATCCCTACCTAGCACGAGGCCTTTTGGGAGCTCATTGGCTTCGGGTTCCGTAGGAACTCCGAAGTTAAGCGAGAAGGGGGCTAGAGCAATCCCATGATGGGTGACCCACTGGGAATTTGCTCGTGAGTTCCCAAAAACAAAACCGTGAGGGAATGGTAAGCCCAAAGCGGACAATATCGTGCTACGGTAGTGGAGCGGGCCGGGGAAGTGATCCGCCCCGGGCCGGGATGTGACACCTATATTTTTTAAAATTCATTTGTACTCATAATTTTTAATCTTTTATATATACCCTAATTTATGTAAAATGTACCAATTTTTTTTAATTTGCCATTTATTATTTCTTATTTTTACATAGTTTTTATGCATTTATTCAATCAAAATGTTTTGAATTTTTTTATTGTAACCGTTTCTAATAGTATTATAATGAGGGATTTTAAATTTATAGGATTATAAATCTCATAAAATATCAAACAATTAATGTCAAAATTATAAAAATATAAATAGTAATAGTAATATAATGAGGTGTACAAAGTCAAGGGACCTTGATCAAACTTTGAATACTATTAAGGTTTTAATCAAAGAATGTTAAATATTAGAGACCGCATCCAAAGTATCCCAAAAAATAAATAGATGTTTAATAATTTGAGTAGAATTATAACACCATTTGGTAGTGTTTTTTTTGTTTTTTTTAGTACATCAATATTTTTACAGTAAGAAGATAGGGGGTTCGGCTAAGACACACAATGGGTAACCTAATTTGGTATCAAATTCGTCATCCACGAAATTCGAACCTAAGACCTCTCACTTCTAAGCGAAGAGGAATACCACCAAACCGTAACACTAAGTGACTCCATTTGATAGTGTTTTAGATACACTAAAAATCTCACTATATATGATGTTTTAGATACACTGAAAAATTCCACCATATATGATTGTGGCAAACCAAGCTGCCATTTTGGGTTCGGCAAACATTGACGTGTAGTTATTTTAGAGAGGCGAACTAATGGTCCACAACTAACTCCACAACTAACCACATTGCACAACATAGCATGTATTAGGGTTTGATACAATAGTCCTCTTTATAATTAGTAGTGGAATGATGGAACCGGAGGCAAATTGTATGCCTTCCTGATATGGTGCCCTCTCCATGCCCTCCTATTTGTGTGGTCACGGTTAAGCCACGTCAACATTTTATATTCCTATTGCTTCTTGTCTTATTATCTCTATAAAAAAATTAATATAAAATTTTGACGTGACTTAACCGTGACCGCACAAAATAGGAGGGCACCATATCAGGAGGGCAATCAATCTGCCTCCGATGGAACCACACAATATAATGCATAACTCACCTCATGATTGCACCACTTTGTCCATCCATTTGTGATTAACATATTTTTATTATTCACATTTTATGGTCGGTTTTTTTTTTTTTTTTTATAAGAAAAGTACAATATTTCATTCATTAAAACCGTTTATTTTTCAATCATTATTTGAAAATCATATGTTTGAAACATTAATTAAATTGAAGATTGTTTAGTCACCTTTATTCATTAAATAAATGAATAATTTTTCATGATTATGTAAGTTGTTATCAAAATAGTGGATTTGTTGTTTATATATATGGATGCAAGAAGTTTCCAATTAATATGAAATGCCACCATCTATTCAATGAGCAGTAGGTATGCAAACAAACAGCCCCTTTAAGGAAAGAGATCTCCATTTATTTAAAAGTAGGGATTAATTGTGAGACCTATTCTACATCGAACTTCATTGATCTGAACCGTTTATTTTGTAAATCTCGATTCATAGATCATCATTACAAAAATTCAATTCAATCCGAAACCATTTACCTATTTAATTATCACGATGAAATTTTAATGTTTTTCTTATAACAAAGTGTTTGTCAATTTCTTTAAAATCAATTAGATGTCTCAAATATTTCTGATTTGACTAATATTTTGCAAAGATGATATACGAGATGTAACTTGAAAGAAAAAAAAATGATTCTGTTATTTAAACTTTGATATGATGTGGGCCCCACAAGGGATTCCCATTTTTTTTATATAAAAATGAGAATCTCTACCCTTAAACGCCCCTTGTAAACAAATTCACATTTGTTTATATTGTATTAGAATACGCGTATATCTCCTCAACAACAAAAAATGGAGTAAGGATCTCGAGGATCCTCAAATCACATCCGTTTATCGTACATTGTGCGATCAGAAATTATTGTAAATTTTTTTACTTAAAATTGAATATAAACAGTACCTGATAAAAATTGACCGCACGATATATGATGAACGGATGTGATTAGAGAATCTCTTGGATCTCACAAAGAGAATCTCTTGGATCTCACAAAGAGGATCCGGCGACGATCCTCTTAGCAAAAAATGTACATCAGTTCTACTTTCTACCGTCAATGTTAGTGTCGTGGAGGCTGAATAATATATGGTCATTTTACTTTTCCTTTTTAAGTTTGCCCCTTTGTTTGGCCAGCCATTTAGCTTTTTAGAACGTACGGAACAATTAGAGCAAGCTAAAGCTAGGGAACAAGAAAGCATATTTATGGAGATTTGGTTTGAGATTGGACATGCACAGTGAAGGTGCTTACTGTTTAGCTGAACGGAATGAGCATAATGTGCAGGTCGCAACTAATCGGCATGATATGATTGTGAATGAACGTCGGACGTATGCTCCGGATTTTTTTAGTTTAGCTGAGCCTCCGACTTCAATGACAAGGATTCCAGCTTCTTATTGGAATTCAATTAGTATGGTTTTGCTGGGTGTTGATGACCGAGGACAGTCTTTTTCAAATATTGGGTGTTTCACTACTACTAATATTTTATCTCCGACTGTGTGCTCTTCTTCTAGCCAACACTTGTTTGTGCAGTTTTTGGTTGGCAATATGATGCAAGGTAATGTTTTTATTTATGTTGTAACGACTGTTGTGGAGCATGGATCATTGTTGTCTTCTATTGATCAAATAAGTGTGAACAGGGTTTTCGGGTGCACTGTTAGTATTTGGTGATTTCAATGGGATTCTTGGGATTGATAAGAAAATTGGTGATAATCGAAGAAAGTTAAGATTTTGCTATGAAATTAATTGACAATATAGAGAGTAACCAAACTTACTTATAAATTCATGCAAGGTTTCTCCTCCCATCAATGTGGGATTCATTCTCAACACCGCCTCCCTCATTCTATCAATGTGAGACTCATTCTCAACACACTTTCTCACGTGTGACGAATTTTCAAGCTTAACACGTGGACAATACAACGGGGTGACATGGAACGCATGTGACCGTTTGGCTTCACACGTAGGATAATCTGCTCTGATATCATGAAGAAAGTTGGGATTCCACCATAAAACTTGGTAATATGAAAGTAGTCCAACTTACTTATAAGCACTTGCAGTGTCCCTCCTCTCATCAATGTAGGATTCATTCTCAACACGCTCCCTCACATGTGATGAATTTTCAAGCCTAATAAATAGACAACACAACCGGATGACGTGATACACGTGTGGCCGTTGGGTTTTACATATAGGACAACCTGCTCTAATATTATGAGGAAAATTGAGGTTTCACTATAAAATCAATTGGCAATATAAGGAGTAGCACAACTTACTTATAAACTCATACAAGATCTCTCACTCCATTAATATAAGACTCATTCTCATCGGTAATTTGCCGAGGCAAGTCTCCTCGACTGAATTTCAAAACCCACTCTGCCATATGGTTTGAAATTTCGGCAATTAAAAAGAAAGTTTAGCTTTGACAAAAAAAAAGAGGGTCTAGCTGAAAGGGGATGCCATCAGCCCATACCAAGGCCTTGAGTTTCCTTCACGACAAGTTAGGATGTGGATGTCAAATTATCAACCTCATTTTTATTCTTTTTGAACACCTACGTATTCACTAATTTAATGTACAAGATAATGGATATACAGCTTTGTCATTGCGTAAACTACAAAAACGATCCTCTATTAACAGAACAGTTTATATGCTCCAACCAATTTGACAATTACTTGACAATGAAGAGTTGTAATCACTGTCATTTGAGTAGAATCTTTCATTTTTTAAATTATTGACAGTACTCTTTTTGTTCGCCTAGCCTCTATTGCTTCACGGATAATTTTGCCTACCAATATGCTTTCTTAAATATTGACATATCTTTGATTGCATATTTTTGGCTTCTGAATATGTCAACTTGCTTGATACTAAATGCGATGACGAATAT